AAAACCTTAATTTTATTCAAAAATCACACTTTTTCAAATTTTGACTGAATTACTTGTAATTTCTTAATATTCAATAAGCTGCCGAGGTTTCAGTGACAAGCTGTCGTCTCATACGTTGGCAATATTTTGTTTTACAGCTGCTAAAATTTGTCGGGAGGATCTTAAAGCTCATTCGCTATATTTGACGGACTGTTACCCTACAGGTGGAAAATAACGGCTTGTTGATTTGACAATCCTGGTGAAATCCATTTATATAATAATTTTGATGATGATGTATTTAAATTTATTCAAGACTACATTGCTCCTGACGCAGCTTATCACTTATACTTTGAACAGACAGATATATATAAAAAATTTTCTGTTGTTTTACAAAGAATGTTCAAGTCTGATACTTTGAAACTCAAAATGTGTGAAACCAATTCAGTCGACGTCACAGATAAATCTGATATCAAGGACATTATCACAAAAGCAGGTCTAATTATCGTGGAATTGAGGAAACGCATCAGAGAATAAAAGAAAAATATTGTTGGCCTAACCTGAAAAAATCAATTGAAACATTTATAAATGAGTTGTGAAATTTGTCAACAATGTACAGCATCGGATCCTTTTGAAATCATACATATTGATACTTGACTTTTGGAGGTTCAAAATTTCTTATAATTATAGGCAGTTTCTCAAAATATGCTCAAGTATATCAAATTACTTCGCTTTCAGAAACCGAAGTTGCTGATAATGTGATATTTTTCTTTCCTCATCCCAGAACTCCTACACAATTTTGGCAGATAATGGTACTGAATTCAAAAATACCGTTATAACTGAACTTTTGACACTTCACAAAATTGAACTACATTTTAATTCACAAAATCATCCAGATTCCAATGGAGTCGTAGAACGATTTCATGCAACTACCACAGTACATTTAAGATTATTGAATGCAGAAGGCTTTCAGAAAACCCCTATAAAAATGAAAACGCTCTATGCCGTTTTAGCCTACAACCGCACCTTACATTCTGCCTCAAAACTAAAGCTTATAAATTTAATCAACGGACATACTACGTCCAATGAATCATTCGACATCAAAATTGACCTATTACTCCTCAATGACTATACCAAAAGCCACAAAGAGCGTACAAAGCTATTGTATTCAAAAATAAATTCTGATCTCAACAGAACGAAAAGAAAACGCAACAACGCGTTAACAGATATTGCGTCCGTCTATACCTGATAACCGAGAAACGGTATAAGTCAAAAATCATATTAGAAAAAAGCACGCCAACAAATTCTTGGATCTCTCTGGATGATATAGGATACGATGATGATAATGATAATAAAAATGTACCTGTATAATTTTATTACGAGGGCTCCAATGGCAGGATAATTTCAAAGCCACTTACTTGGTGACGTAACAACAGGGGAGTTGTCCTTCCTTGGCGAGAGATACGGTCGATAAAATTGTGTTGTCGGGGGCCAAGCCTATTTTTGAGAAAAACCTTTTGAGTGCATTCCATACTCTATCGACTCATGACATACACATCTCTACTGTCTATTCACTATTATTGATTATACTACAACTATATAAAACTGTAATGACTCATACGCGTGATCAACACGTGATCAGAGCTCGATCCCGGCTTCTTTCCAGTACAGCCATATAGCGTACGACATATGTCGTTTCTGTGGCTTTGCGGTGGTCAACAGCACAGACAGAGATGGAAATAATGGCTGATTGTTCTCCGCCGGTAGAACCAATGAAATCAAAGACGCGCCTCGACCGGCAGACTCATAGGCGTCGGCAACGCATTGGAACGTGTTTCGTTGAGCGATCGCATATTGTGTGTTTTTATAAGAATTGTTGTGTGATTGTTATTGTTGTGGTTTCTGTGGTTACTGTTTTGGTTATACTTAACCATGGAGAGTACAAATGACACGAGTGGAAGTACTGAAAGCCAGGGAACAAGTAGACGGCTTCGTAAAGGACTGAAGAGGGATGCGAAAGAAATCGTGCTCAACGTGTTCAATTATCTGAACAGAACTATGTCGCAGGGAGATGCACTCGTTGTGAAAGTATGACAGGCGTTCCAGAGTGGACCATTCGCAGGGTGGTGCATGAAAAGAAGAAAACTGGAGCTACTACTGATCCAAAGTTAAATTTGAAGGGACGAAAGGCCGTTAAATTGGATGACGATAGCAAAATGGCGTTAAGGCGAACCGTACATTCATTCTTCTTTAGGAATGAGATACCAACCCTCAAGGCTGTACATGCAGCGATCAAGGAAAATGCAATTATACCCCAAATGAGCGTCGAGGTAATGAGGAAATCCCTGCACGAAATTAATTTTCGTTACGAAACGCGTAATCGGAAGTCAGTATTGATAGAGAGACCTGAAATAGTCGCCTGACGTCGAAAATACCTACGCGAAATGATTGAATATAGGCGACAAAGCAGAAAAATCTATTATTTGGACGAGACATGGGTAAATGCAGGTCACACAGTTAAAAAAACCTGGATAGACAAAAACGTAGTGAGTAACCGACAAGCAAGCATTGAAGGTTTGTCAACAGGTCTTCGTGGACCGTCAGGGAAAGGTCAAAGATTGATCGTAACTCATATTGGTAGCGATAGTGGCTTTTTAGAAGAGTGTGACTTGATTTTCGTCTCTAAGAAAGGAGGTGATTACCATGACGAAATGAATGCCAGCTGCTTCGAGAGCTGGTTTCAAGGGGTGCTTCAGCGAATTGAGCCCAACTCTGTGATCGTCATGGATAATGCTTCCTACCATAGTCGTCGAGCCGAACGTGTACCGACTATGGCATCTCGAAAAAGTGACATGCAGTAATGGTTGCGCGAAAAAGGAATCCCGTTTGACGATTCATGTGTGAAAGCGGAATTGTATGAAAAAATTAAACAGCACAAACCTGCGAACATTAGTTACGTGACTGATGAGATGGCCTGTCAATGTGGTGTCACTGTGCTGCGGTTACCGCCCTACCACTGTGAACTGAACCCAATAGAGCTCATCTGGGCTCAAGTGAAGGGTTATATTGCGCGCCATAACACAACCTTCAAATTACCAGACGTTAAGGTTTTACTTGAGACTTCCATACAGCTAGTAACGCCCGAAGCTTGGCAGAATGCTATCCGTCATGTTGTGAAGGAAGAAACAAAAATGTGGCAGCTTGACCATCACATCGACACCATCATAGAGCCAGTTATAGTCAATTTTAACGAGGAAAGCGATAGCGACAGTTTATTACTGTCAGATGTAAGTGGAAGCGGCGATGATTAAAGGTAATTCCCAAATTTTTGAATTACAATATGTTTCAAACCACTCTTTATTAAGCATGTGACAAATCTAGTTCACCCATGTTAAACATTCATACCCCGCCTATGAACAGCCGACTACTGGTAGTTAAGTGATGTTCACGTGAACATCGATGAGTCATTACACTTTTAGATAGTTATAGTATAGCTGTTTCGATTCGGACTATAAAACAATATAATAATGGCCATGGTATTTCTCGATTAAATTATCAGATAATAAAACACTTTGCATTGGGGAACCGTATGGAAATTACACCCTTGTCCATAATAAGGGGAACGGTAGCTTCCTACCGCATGGAAGTCTCATCTGATATGGAATCAGCTTCTAAGAGCTATAATTAGTAAACAAGCTTACGCAGAGATACAACTTTCGTGAGATATACAACCTCCGAGATCATTAGTGTCTATCATATCATAATTTCAGTACTAGAATATTTAGAAAACTCACTTACTTAGTCGAAATTGGGAATTATGCACCCCAGTGTAATAAAATCAAAATATTTGCTTCAAGCGCTTAATTCAGTAAGATCAAAATTTTCCACAAGTCAACTGCCTATAGAAGTTACTTTGGATAATATTCCAATTTTTGAAAAGCTCATTAAGATCAGCTGTTATACAGTTGATAGAAAATAAAACATATATTCTTCAAATTCCTATTGTTTATGCATTCCAGTTTGATTACTATCACTTATATTCAATTCCAATCTTTCCTAAGGGTCTGTTCTGGCAAGCATCTTGTAAAGCATGAGTTGTACTTTGCTCTTGCGGGAGACTTACGCACGGAAATAGTCACAAAACGCTAAATATGCAATAAACTGGATTTAAGAAGAATCAAATAATCCAATACCTGTGATGTTCAACACCTGGAATAAAAAACTCCCACTACCTGCCAAGAAATACAAGCCGTAACCACAGGGCCAGTAATGAAGAAACTGCATGATTCCGGACAATGGGTCTTGCTCATAATCAATGAAACCGCCATTACATTAAGCTGCCAAGAAGGTCAAGAAACAGTTTTTTGATCCTACTAAGCCGAAATTCCAGTGGGTTGTGCACTGAATCTAAATCAAGACCTGATCGCCAATCAAGAACCTATATCAAATCAGACAATTATTTTTCCAAATATCGACACCAACACTTCATTTGCTGCAAAGGCCAATGACTTTAGCCTTCATCTGGAGTAAATAGAATTTGATGAAGTTCACAAAATAAAAGAAAGATTAATAGAAAATCGTGTTGACATCCGTTCACACAAGGTGCCACACATACCCAGTTCTCAATCCTGTTGTATGTAGTACTGCTGCTGCTACCTTGCTGTTTTGTCTACAAGAAGATCATTCCGAAGATTTTTACTAAGCCGAAGAAACCCTGTTGAAGAAGTTGATCTTTCCAATATGCAACTTCCTCATCAATCCTCGAAGTTGCATCTACATGGTAGATAAGATTTACCCCTACCACTGAAGAAGAGGAACGAGTTTCCGTGGAACAGCACTTTGCCTTATCGTGTTGAAATATAATCCAAATATAGTGTCGCTTGATATTAGCGAAAGAATAGTTTCTAGTACCCTTAAAGTGGTGTATTTTTGTAAAGGAGGCACACGTTGTCATACCGTTTCTCCACAAAAGGTTGCTCACTTAATCTGAGTCATCATCTGTATAATACAATACCTATTCTTACCTATGTAGAACAAATGCGTTAAAAATAAGCACGTTTGTCCCCTCATAGCTGTCAGAAGCGTTGTAGCACATAGGTTGAATAGCGTAATGGATGTAAGGACAAACCATAAAGGTGTGAACGGTTCCACCTGAAACAAATAATGTTGCATGGAAAAACCTTCTAGATAAATGTAACATATTTTTACCAGCTTAACCTATTGTTAAAGTGTGATAACTCTTGGAACCAACTTTGAGCAATTTGACTGACATTTTGTACACATGTTCGATTTCAGAGACAATACAGAATTAACTATTTGGCACCATCTTAAATCCAGTATGGCGGATGCAACAAAATAGCGATTCATCATTTCTATAGAAGTAACCCTTAGGATATGGAGATATCATATAAAAGGGCTCTATGAGAGAAACATCATTAGCAGAGTGACGTCATTCTACATCTGATACGGCTACCACCGCAAAATGGCGTTTATAATTACCATAGTCAACTATGATACAGGTGTAAAATTAAAGGGATTTTATAAGAGAAACATAACAAGTAACGTGACATCATTCTGAAACAAATATAGCGGACACCGAAATTTCGATTTATTGTTTCCATGGTCATCGCTATCATATAGGTGTCAAATGAAAAAGCCCAATGAGCAGGTAGCGTCATTCTCGATTCCATTAGACGACCGCCGCAAAACACAAATTCATCGTTATATGATTTATATCTATCGGAATTTTGTAACGCAAAAAGAGTGAGAAGCTTTATGCAGTCCTATTAATGAAGTATATATTGAGTGAAATCTTTCCTGCACATATGAGCGGTACTGATCTAGGACAGAGAAGGAATCATACGAAAAATGTGGAGGTGGGGCAGGGCAGAGACAATGTATTTAGGACACGATTTGGCAACGTCCGAACGTGGCCAAGTAAGGAGGATGATAAAAAAGGCCTGCTGCCCGGGGCTGAGTTACCAGGCGTGGTGATATTTCGCCCAAGTGGCGAACTCTAGTTACATCTGTCGTTCAAAAATCATAACGTGACGATTGACGACTTCGGTGGCGATCACTGTACAGATATTTGGCTACACAACAATCAGAATTCTCAGTCTCCGGTACTACCTTACGACATTTCTAACCATGCGGTTGTTCGACAGAGGCTATGTTCTTTGCGCAAAAAAACAGAACTGGACTTGGAGATCTAAAGGACATTAAGACAGGGCTGTAACTGAAAACTTTGACATCTGCGCATCTGATCGAGGATGTTACATTGAGGTTGTACACATGTTCAAAACATAATACTCAACTAACCACACACACATACTGTCTTATCCTTGCCCATAGTACGCAAATTCACGAACTTCAAGTATGCTCTTGGAAAAACCTAGCCGATCTTATATTTTTATCAACAGATGTCAGCCTACAATCTGCTTAATGGATTTTGTTTTTGGCCAAATTTAGTGACGTCACTCGCACCTCTCAGGGTGCAAACGAAAAACATGCACTTCGCTTCATCATTCCACAAATGTCAATAGTGTCACAAGACATACTGCGCTTGCGCACAAATATACACTGTCATGTTGTTGGGTGCTTCAAAATCTCTATCATCTCCCTGCAGACATTCGTCAGAAAATTTCTGACAAAAGAGCTGCAATTAAGCAAGCGAAGAGGTCTTGTCACTCAGATGACATTCACAGAGCAACGAATCTTGTTCATGAAGTCAGAAATGCTCTTCATGAATTCCGTAATGAGCAATGGACCGACTTTCTGTCGGAGATGCTTGACTCAAGTATTCCTCTCTGGAAAGTTGCAAAGTCGCTCAGAAATGGAAAGCGAGAACAACTCCCGAACATCCACGTTCCTAGGGGCATAGTCTGTAGGACAGAGGAAAAGGCCGAGGTTTTCGCTGATGCAATGAAAAGTCAGTTCTCTCCCAACTATGACCTTGATAATGACCTCGACGAGGAGCAACATATTGTAAGATCCGTCAGGAGATATTTTAGGGCCAACGGCGTCAGTGGCAGTAGTGCCTCCCTTAGTGATTTTTCCTCAGAGGAATCTTCAGAAGATTCCTCAATTGAAGAGCTGCACGGCACATCAGCGGAATCTCCTGAGACTCCGCATTGCACACCAGCAGCGCTCCAAGGTCATATTAAAGACCTCAAGGTGCGTAAAGCACCTGGAGGTCTTACAGTCAAGCAGAATCGAATAACAACCCTTTGTTGCGCGAGTCAGTGGACTACACAGTCGAGCAAGTTCGCAAGCACACAAGGCCGCGACTCGCACTGTGAACAAAATTAAATCGTGCGACTTTAGGTCCAACCAAAATTATAATTTTTCGTCAACAACCAATCCCAAAATTAATTTTAGGATCAATTTAAAATTGCCGAATACTAACTAGCAATGCCAAGACACCCCTCAAATTGATGCACTTCTTTTTTCTTTGCTCTCCCTCCTTCCTTCCTTCATTTCTTCTTCACTTCTTTCTCCCTGACTTTGTTTGGTATCTGGGCAACCAGACCTGACAGACCTACTGACTTACAAGACTTCAACCAAGAGCAAAGGTCCTACGGACCGCTCTGACAGACAATGACGAATAGAAATCTCTATCAAAAAAGAATTCGAGTTTCGGTTCTCAATGTTCTATTTCTGTGGATTGGCGATTTTCTCTTTTGTGATTTTTGCATCAAAAGGTTGGAGACATCTGTCGAGTTTCAATTAAAAAAAATGTGCGACATCTGACAATTTTCTCACCAAAAGTTGGCGATAGCTGAAACAGGAAATCTTGCAACCCTGTGGGTGGCGCGTGGCGCTGAAATGCAAATCGCGCGATTGGTATTCCCCACAAAATTATTTTAACGACTTAAATAAGCCCAAACTAACTTTTTACAGTTCAAATCACGCTTTTTCCATGTATTTGTTTGAAGCGCTTTTCTTGATGGCGTGAAGTTCACACTTTTGCCCAGGTTTTTAATCCTTCCTCTTGTTTCCATTAGAGATACCCTGTGTTTAATCTGTTGCGGTTTCAAAATCTTAAAGAACCTAACGCATGTCTCGACAGAATAAAAATATTAAAATTTTTATTATTTTATTTAAATTCCCCACAATTTGGAGAATTCCGCACAAATAGGTAAACCTGCGCATTTGCTTATTTCATTGTTTCACGTGTCAATGTGCTCCAGAGAGGTGAAACACCTTATGGCAACTCCAAGGAAATCCTCTCCAGGCAAAATCGATGAAACTGCGATGCAGAATAAATCTATCTTTATCTTAATGCAATACAATTTTTATACCATTGGCAAAAATATGTTTACCGCATGTGAATATTGTTTGAAAATAGATATATTGTCATGATAATTAGTATTGGATTCTATCTTTCTGAAGCTTGTTATGTGCAAAACTGCTGAACGAGATATTATCCAAATTGGGGATACTTTATGGATATATGTTCATGGAATAATCCTTCAGTATCGGAAATATCATTTTCAGCAGATTTTAAATTATGAATCAACGGAATCCCCGGTTCATTCCTGGCATTTCCTATTCCAGGCGCGTCTGACAAACGCCAACGGTGTTGCCATCGTTTACCGTGCAGTTCCCACTTCTTCAGTCACATATGTTTTGTAGCGTGCTCCAACCAATGGTGGATAGTGGGTGTATGCGTCACACTTCAGTTTGATTATTTACGCCCTTAGACTGCCTGAAGCAATTTAAGTGATTTCGACATTGCACAAAATCACCTAGATCACTCTACTTATTTGTATGTTTCATAACAAAAGCAAAAAGATATTCTATAAAAAACCTAGTCTTGAAAATGAAGTACGTAAAGTATATTCAGATAAGAGATAGACCGGATGTAAACAAAAGGTTCGGGTGATTTGCACGCTAATGCCGCCGTCTCGACGTAAAACAGGAGCCCTCATTGGTCAATTCGCAATTAAATGCCTATGCCGAGCGGCAGAGCAGTCGTATCAAGGCAGAGTCACATTCAGGTTCAGACATGTTACGTATGTCGTGTGCATCATTGCAATTTGATATTTCTTTGGACGTTTTCGTTTGTTATCTTATTAAGTTGTTGAGTTTGTCGTTGTTATTGTTATACCTTGTTATTGATTGTTATTGTTATCAACTGCTTGCGCAAAATGCCCAGTAGTACAGATACTGCCGATGAAGTTATAAACTCCTGTAGTCCACCTAGGAAACGCTCTAAAAAAAGACACCTGAGTGCAGAAATGAAAGAGGTCTTTTTGAATATATATAAGATCGAGCGCGAGGAGAACGAGGCATCAACCATCAAAGAAATTGTTGTGAAGGTTTCTCACAAAGTTGGGGTGTGTCGCGCATCAGTGTTTAATGTGTTAAGACCATAAAAAATCACACCTTTTCTGAGCCAATGATCAGTAAACATCGCAAAAGTATTGTTAAATCATTGGATGAAGCTGATAAGCATGCGATTAGGAGGAAAGTGCATGAATTCTTCTTTAGGAATGAAATACCTACTATAGATAAAGTACTGCAGGAGGTAAATGGAGATACAACGTTGCCAAATTTCAAACGATCAACTTTCCATGCGTTACTGAAGCATTTAAATTTCAAATGGAAAAAACGGGGTCGTAATAGTTTACTACTGGATGGAGAAGACATTGTGCTATGGAGGAGGGATTATTTAACAAAAATTGGGAAATATAGAAATCAAAACAGGAAGATTTATTACCTTGATGAAACGTGGGTAAACGCAGGACACACTACAAGTAAAGTATGGGTTGATGATTCTGTAACTTCATCCAGGAGGGCCTTTCTAGATGGACTGTCCACCGGATTAAAAAATCCAGCAGGTAAATACGAGTAATAGACAACAATCGGATGTTTTTCAAACCTTGGGAACAAGGTTCTAAACATTAATTCCAGGGGGCAGATAAAACATATTACAAGTAACAAAACATTTATAACTTTCGATAAAATGCGTGGATGTTTTATTGTCATTTTCATTTGTTAGAACTTTTTTAAGCCATGTTTTTATGTGTTTTCGATATTTCAATAATTTTTTAATATAATCTTAAAATATGTCGAATATTATAAACTTAAAAAAAGTTACTAAGTTTTATATTGTGTACCGTTCCTAATATTTCTGATCATTTTAATTC